AGTTAGAGGCAGACGGATCCATGTTATCTTTTCATGTTATATCACTCTTCAACTCCATCCCACAGCAACTGGCAATTGATGTTGTGAGCCAACTTTTAACTGAACACTACGATGAGAAGGGCAAGCCCCTGAAGTTTGAACATCTGCTCGAACTTCTGCGGTACTGCCTTAAAACCTAGTTCACATTTGGAGGCCAAATGTATGAACAAATTAAAGGCACCCCAATGGGCTCCCCCCCCCCTATCAGGCCTGATTACTGAAGTGGTCTTTCAACGGATTGAACACTTGGTCTTCACCAAGTGTCAACCGAAGTTTTGGGCTCGTTATGTCGATGACCCTTTCGTTATTGTCAAAACTTCCGACATTGAGCACCTTAAAGAGTTTCTAAACTCGGTTGACCCAAATATCCAATTACCAATTGAAACGGAAAGAAAAGACCAATTTCCCTTTCTCGATGTCCTGGTCCACCGTTGTTCCATTAGAATACTGCAAACTACAGTATTCAGAAAAGCCACCAGCACGAAACAAATACTCCATTTCAACAGCAATCCCCCCTGTCTCACAAAGGTAGCTGTGTTCGTGCCCTTTCCCAAAGAGTTGAAAAATATTGCAGCACAAAAGCTGACAAAAGATTGAAACAACAATACCTACGTAACCTCTGTCGAGATAATGGGTACCCAAATTTATTTATCAACCAACGCAACCGCCGAGTGAACAGACAACGGGCAGCAAATCCGCAACCCGAAGTATGGAGGGCCATTCCCTAAATAAATGAGTCTCCGAAGCAGTCTCCCGACTGTTTAAACCCGCTGAAGTAGGCATAACGATGGACACTGTAATTACGTTGGAGAAACAGGACACAAATTGCAGACCCGCATACAAGAACACAAAGCGGCGGCCCAGAGACTAGACTCTAACTCGCAGCTTGCCACACATATCGGAGAGAAGAGTCACAATTTAGATATTCAAGGAACGACCATCATAGGTCGAGGAGCCTCAAAAGCTGAAAGACTGACGCTTGAGGCATGGTACTCAGACTCCAATTCTGTCAACGGGCATCTGGACCTCTCTGAGGCCTACAAAGTTCTGTGCCATTACGTAAGTAGAGGACAAAGCACGGTCAAATTGAGGTCAAGATTTGCAGACGCAGACGGCCATGCGACGAAACCACCGCAAGCGGGAGCAGGATTGCCATTACCCTCTACCATGTGGACAGAACAGACCAACAAATGGCGTCACGCCAAGCCAAAAAACACACGCAAGGCGAGATAGCAAACGCAGAAAAATCGATCAGCCCAAGGCCAACACTGACAGCCGCAAATTTGAACTGCAGGTTGATAAAAGTCAGTATTTGCTTTGACAAAGGACAGCAGTCCTAGCAGTCCGAAACATCGGTAAATCTCCAAATTTATGCTGGCGAGCACAAGATGAATGTTAATGTCATGGTTAGGACGTCTGCCCCTGACCGGCGAGGCGGGAGTTCCAAACTCGAGTGTGGCGGCAATTTCAGCGACTACACTAAAGTTGGCTGCCCGTAGCTAATAAGGGCCAATAGCCCGAAATAGCTATACTGCGGTTTGTCTGTTTATGCCGGAATACTGGAAACATTATGTTTTATTTTAATTTCATGTAGGACCTGTACTATTCACTTACCCCACAAGTGAGTGACATGTTTTAATATTAATTGACTACGTGCACTGCTGCTATGCACGTTTACCCTTACTACTCGTGTGCACCATACAGCCAATTGTTTGGCATTGTGATCTGCATTATATATGTGTTTTTTGATGGACTCGATGATTGCTTGAACTCAAGCAAAGGACGCCATACGAAGACCCTCAAAATCATCTTGATACGGCGATGAAGACAAATGTCAGCTTAAAACGGCGATTATCTTGACAGTTAGCCAGCAGCGTCTGGGAAAACGGAAAATGTGCGCAAATCTCCGTTAAATTAAGAACCCAAGAGCAACTTAAGAAAGGTTTTTGAATGCTTATATTACAAAAGAAATGGCGACGTGGCGATTGGTCACATTAAATCACCATTATAGTTAAATCATATAAAAATACAGTGATATAAAAATGAACGTAACATGCACATAAAATACATATGGGTTCTTCATAATCAGGTCAAATTTTGTCTTTTTCATCCTGGTCAATAATTTGAATTTCAGAATACTCTGTGCTTGACGAGGGACAGCAAGGCGCGCAAATGTTGGAGCAAGTTTTACAGGCCCCCGTTTGGTCTTTCAGGAAAAGTGATAGGACGAAACCTAAAACAAAGGAATTTCATTGATAAAGAGACTCTTTTTTTAGCAAAATCAACAATGCGAGGACTTTTAACGTACCTAAGGACAGAACGGCCGCACAAGACCAGTACACTGTATCCCACTCTCCCTCTATGTTGAATTGTGAAATGATTGCTGACAGCAACAGCGAGCTTGGTGCCTAAAAGGTAAAATGATACGTTGACAGAGCAAAAATTTAGTTGAGAAGTTGTTTGACATATTCTTATGCCATACTTACAGTAGCTAGGTACAGAAGGCCGTAAATTGTGGCCATGTTCTTCGGTCCAAAGCAGCTTGTGCAAGCAGCCGGCATAAGCACAAAATGGCCCGCCATGGTAAAAAATAGGCCGAAGACCCAGATTGCATACAGGACTTTTATGTAGCTGGCTTCACCGATTATAGGAAACGTAGCCATTAATAGCGCCCACTGTACCAACATCCAATTTAGCGGAACCTGTAATTCAATGTGTGCGATTTTGAGACTTAGAAGAGAACAGACTTCGAAAAAAGAGACGTTTTAGGCATCATGTTGTTTAAAAAGAGCAAGAATTTTGAAGTATCTACACAATCAAGGTACTTGCAACAAACTTATGGGAGACTGTCCCATGACAAGAGTAAATCTGAATTATGCGGCGTGATCTTAGATATAGATTTTCCTATTGTGAAGGCAAACAGTTTCCATGTTTTGGAAGATGGACACATATGGACGTACCTTAAATGAAAATTTGTCGATAATGAATCCCCAGGTTATTCTACCAATGCAATTAAATGCGGACGATAATGTTGCAATGGTAGTCAAAAACCAATCATCCAAGTGACAATCCTTGCCAAACACCTAAAATTGCGTACAGAATAGATTAGCTGACAGAAGTATAATTTGACTATTTCATATAACGGTCGTTCGTGTTCCAATTACCTTGAACGTTGCTGACTGAATCGTGACAGCGATTACGTCCAAGAATATTATAGAGAATATAATGTAGAAACCAGCTGATCGCAGCGCTTGCGTGATTGTAGAGTTGGACATTTCTTCCCTGAAATAAAGTCGGTATTTAGGCTCATTGTATAGTCCATAATTAGGTGAACAAGCAAACCTCCTACAGCTTACATTTGTTCCTCTTCATCTCTGCTTTCGTCCAGGTCCGACGTGGAAACCAGCCGAGTTGAGTCGCTGCGTTTCTTCCTTTTAAACAAAAATGTATTTTTAAGCACACGCACATGTGTATGCTAAGTATATATAACTATTCAACGACATCAAGCTTGAAGAAACATTGTGAAGTACTCACATAGTGTCCGTCATCGTGGAAATAGTCGATTTCTAAAACGTCAGTTTATTATTATTTGGACAAGAAAATGAAGAAATAAACAGTTCAGGGATCCTTAGAAGACTCACTTCATTTTCAATTTCCTTCTTGCGTTCTCTGCACAAGCACAAACCAATAACTTGCAGAGCTAGCATTATTCCGCCGAGGATGCTGAATGCCCGTGGAAGATTGTCTTTTACCCTCGGACTTTAAAGAGATAAAGGTATCGTTTAGCGTTACAGAGTTGCCATTATAAAAATTATATTCATACACTGCTATGAGATATCAATAAGACGATCACATTTTTACGTGCCTATGTGCAGCATCTCTTTAGCATAATAAAAAATTGCCAGAGTTCTACAAAGGAACTTACTCTGCCAGATCGTGGATATTATGTGGATTGATGAGAGCTGTCTGTATTGGAGAGAAGACGAGAGAACCAAGACCTAAGCCCGCTGCTATGATACCCACTACAAGGCCCCGGTGCTTCGGAAACCACTAAAAAATTCAAATTTTAAGCGTGTCATTTACAGTAACGTGTAAAATGATTATACTTTAACATGCAATGATAAGTACTTACTTCAGAGGCTACCGAAAAAAGAACAGAGTAGGGCAGTCCCATTCCTAGACCAAACATCACACTATAGGTGGCAAGAAAGGCTCCAAAACTGTGGTCAATCGTCACACGAGAAAGGAGGATTCCACCACTGCAAAAAAGCGTGCGTGCAAGATTAAATTGTGCTTAAGGTAATCATTCTGCTAATCAATTATTCGAAGCAGGGTTAATATATCTTATAATAACTAACCTCGTTAAAATGGCGCCCAATATCGTAACAGGTATGAATCCTATTTTCTTGGATAAAAAGCCTCCTATTGGCATGCTCAACGATTGTCCGGCCAAAATAACTGCCTTAATCCATATGCTTTGACTCTTTGATAT